CCCAAACTCGGTACCAGTACAGTCAAGATAATCTACTCCCGCGGAAACTGGTTTGACTCAGTGGCTAGAGCGTCAGCCTGCTGACTGAAGGGTCCCAGGTTCGATTCCGGTCAAGGGCACATCCCCAGTAAGGGGTGTGCAGAAGGCAGTTGGTAGATGTTTCTCTCTCGTTGAAGTTTCTAGCTCTCTATCCCTCTCCCTTCCTCTCTGTAAAAAATCAGTAACATATATATATATATTTTTTAAAAAGATAATCTCCCTTTTCCCCAATGTAATACATGTGCTTTCCTTTTTAGTTTTTAATTATTTATTTATTCATAATCTTCATCCAAGAATATTTTTCCAATGATTTTTTAGAGAGAGGGAAAGACAGAGAGAAACATCGATGTGAGAGAAATACATCAATTGGTTGCCCCCTGCAAGCGCCTTCCCAGGGCCTGGGCCAGAGAGGAGCCTGCAATGAGGTATGTGTCCTTGTCTGGAATTGAACCTGAGATCTTCTGGTCCACAGGCCGCCGCTTTATCCACTGAGCCAATCCAGCTAGGGCTGTACATGTACTTTCACACAGTTTCCTCTACATACAATTTAAAGAACTAGCTTAGAGCCTCAGACATTCCACAACCTGAATCTCCTTGCTTTTTTCATCTTCTCTGCCACTTCAGCCTACAAAGACATACTGCATGGAGTACTTATCTTTTTTACAGTAGTGTCTTAACTATTCAATAAGCATGCAGATATTATTGCAGGCAAACACAAGATCTTCAACTTTTTGTATTCTCTCTTATGGAATTATTAAAAGCTTCTTTCAGCACAATATATTCCCTAAGTCTAACTTAAATTTAAGGACTTACTCTTAATGTCCCCTAGTCAAAACCCTGGAGAAGTAGCATAAAGTGTTCATGTTCTGAGGGTATCTGGACAGCCCAGATCCCTACTGTCAAACTGACTTTGGGCAAGTAATTAACATCACCATTTATTTTCTCAGCTATAAGAGAGATTGTTAGTATCCACTTAACTAAATAGGATCACCCTGGGGGCCAGGGGGGTCTGGATTGGAACACTCACCAAAAGGTGGGTGAATTCGATTCCAGATTAGGGCATGTAAGGGTGGCAACCAATCAATGTTTTCTCTCTCCCTCTCCCTTAAAAAAAAAAACAAAAATAACAAAAAAAAACATAAAAACAAATAAATTCAAAACAACAGAAAAACAATATATCCTCAGGTGAAGATTAAAAATAAACAAACTGTATCAAGTGCATAAAAGCCCATACTAACCATTATTATTAACTACTACAGGCCTAGGGGAGGGGTCCCTCAGACAGGTCTGCACACCTCTCTCAGTCTGGGAGCCCTTGGGGGATGTCTGCTTAAGCCAGCAGTTGGACTTCCTTAGTGCTTGCACTGTGGAGGAGGGAGAAGCTCTTGCCACTGCCACTGCTCTTGCCAGCCCTGAGCCCAGCTCAGGGCTTCTGGCTGAGTGGCACTCCTCCTGTGGGAGCACACTGACCACCAGAAAGCAGCTCCTGCATTGAGCATCTGTCCCCTGGTCGTCAGTGCACAACATAATGACCAGTCATTCTGCCATTCAGTCTATTTGCATATTAGCCTATTATTATATAAGAATATGAACAGAGAGATACAAGAATGATAAATTTTTTCTTTAGCACTTGATTCATTGGGATACTTTGATTCAGTTGGTGGTATGTGAAATATCCTATCCTATATAATAAAAGGCTAATATGCTAAGTGTCCAGTCCTCCGTTTAACTAATCAAAGTATAATATGCTAAGGCCACTCAACTGCTCGCTATGACATGTACTGACCCCTGGAGGGCAGATGCTCCAACCAGTAGGGTCCAGCCAATTGAGATTGAGCAAGGAGCAGGCCTAAGCCGTCAGTCAGACATTCCCCAAGGGCTCCCGGACTTCGAGAGGGTGCAGGCCAGGCTGAGGGACCACCCCCCAAGTGCATGAATTTCGTGCACCAGGGCTCTAGTATAAAAATAAAAGCAGAACTTTGTTTTGCTGAATATTCAACATTAATATTCATAAGTGGAGCATTCACATGATTCATGCATATTGAAGTTTTCAGTATGGTATCTACAGAATCAAGGTACTAAACCTTTATATCCATCCCACCTTCAAAAAATACTAACAATGGGGGAAAAAGGCATTAGTTGTCTGTTTTTTCAATTAATTGAGCCTATGATTTAAGTGCCACAAAATAATTCTTTTAAAGTGATGACATTTCAAGTCTTAGAAGCCTGCACATACTTTTTTACTTTCTTTGCATTAATGGATGAAGTAGTTATCCACAGAAACCTGAAATTCCTGGCCTATAGGGATCTTATGTAACCATCTATGTACAAGTCTCTCAAGTGAAAATTTAATTCCAAATTAAATAACCTGCCCAAGATCTCATAGATATTTCATAACAAAAAATCCTACATGACCAGAATGCATATCTTGAGACTAGTAGGTTTTCTGTTTGGAGTCTACCATGAGAATATACTTTTCTTCTTTTCCCATTAGCACAAGATAGAGTAGTTTGCACATGTTGATACTCTACAATGTGAATTAGCCTTGTCCTCACAACCTTCTGGTACTAAGTATTTTAAAACATGTAGTAGAAAAACTCTGATATTTACATCAAAATAAACAAACAATAAATTTCTAATGGGAAATTAGCATCATTTTAAAACAGAATATATTCAAGTAAATGCCTATACTGAAAATGTACAGAAAAATTTCAAAATGTTCAACTTCAAATACTATTTTAATTAATCTCTTAAATGTCTGTAATATACATAGTCTTTAGTTCCAAAGACTGACTTGTCTGTTAACTAGATGGTTTGAGCATATCACAAGTCTTTAAAACTCAGTTAAAATTCTTAATGATGCCATATTACTAGAAGTCAATTACTGTTCCTAAACATATCTCCTACCTAAAATTATCTTCTATAATACTTCTACAAATTATTGGAAATATTTCAATATCACATTTTTTGGAGAATAATACTCCAATGTTTTGATTTATCCAGTTCAAATTGATAAATAATCTTTACCAAATTCAATACTGATTTGTAGCTTAACATCAGAGCATTAAATTTTCAGTTTAAAAAACCAAAACCAAAAAGCATGTGTATTTTCATCTTTACAAGAAATTCAAGAAAGCTTCAGACAATCATCGCATATGCATATTATTACATTTGATTTCTGTATTCTAAACATATTACCCACACAAGTCTGACTAGTTGAACAAAACTGTATTATTATTATAGGGAAAGTGATATCTTTATACTGAAATTGAACACAAAATGAAATTTAGTACTTTTACAGAATGAGCCAACTTGACAGAAATGGGAAGAAGTGGGGAGGGAAAAATCACACCATACACTCCACTAATTGAAAGTTAGTTTTATTTAAACTTTAATGGCTTGAGTTGGGAGCAAGCAAAGTTGCAAATGGAAGCTAAAGAGTATTCAAACCCTTTTTAAAAGAAAATCAACCAAAAACTTCTATTTCCCCTAAAAATCTTGATTTTGGCACTAGAACTACACGTATCTAAATATCAAAATACCCAAAACAAACAAGTCTCCTCCAGAAAGTCACAACACTAAAATCTTTAGTATTAGCAAACTAGATTTTAAAAGTTTCAAATATGATACTAAAAAGCTCCCTAGGTGGCAACTTTCTAAAATCACTTGGCTTTAAATAAAACTGTATTTCTTAGGCCATTTTAATATGCCAGCACATCAATTTATTTAGGAACACGAATTCCACATTTCTCATTGTTCCTGTTTCAACAAATCAGAAAACTTCTTCCTGGTAGATAAGATTTAGACATGATTTCAGGTGTTAAATCATACTGCTCCTACCACAAATAAAACAAATAAGCTCTTCAGCCACAATTTTATGGAAGGCTCCATGTTCTTTTAAAATGCACACAAAATACAACCACTACACCTTACAGAACAAAATGAGTATCAAAGAGATAAAAACACTTTTGTTTTAACATGGAGAGCTTTCTTAGGTTTGTGATGGGATGGGAGGCAGGAAGAAAGGGTTGAAAATTTTTACCGTATTTGCAAACATGAAAGGGAAATCAAGTTAAATCCGTGAAAACACAACAATTCTCCCATACGCACGTTACCAAGGTTTGGAACCCACAGTGTAAAGTCTCATGGAACAGAACTGCTATCCTATTCACCATCCCCATTATCAGAAGCTCCTCTTTTCCAATTAAGATCCACTTGCTTGGCTTAACTTTGCTGCTTAAGGTTCAGCAAGTCCCCTTTCTGGCAAGTAAATGCTGGATATAAACAACAAATAAAACTGAAACCCCCCGAGTTCCTGCTTGGGATTTTACCTGACCAGGGTAAATGACAAGAGATGCTGGCGGGAAAACCCTGCGAGTCTAGTTCCCTCCCCCCTTCTTCCCATTCCCATTGGGGGGAAAAAAAAAAAAAAAAGAAACAGTCCAAAGAAAAAGTTCAACACTTCATCTGAGAAGAGCTCAGCAAACAAGCAAAGCAACCGTGCGGGATGAATGCAGCCAGGCCCGCTCACAACCGCGGGAGACGAGGAGCCGGCGGGGTCCGGGGCTGAGGAGTCCGGGCCCCGCCGAGCGAGCGGCCTAGCGCCTCCGGCGGCCCGGTGGCCAGGCCCGGCCTCCGCACTCCGCGCCGCGGGCAGCTCCTTCCCCGCAACATGAGGGATTCCGCCCCTTCTCGCTCCCTGGGACCCGAAAACCCTGCCGGGTGCGGGGGAGGGAAAGTGTAACAGGGAAGGCGGAGGGGACTTTTGGAGACACCGAGAGGGCCAGGGGCCGGCGGCGGGCAACGGCCCGGAGGCAAGAATGGGGGGAGGGGGCTCCGAGCGGCGGGCAGGGGACTCCGGAGCCGCGGAGGAACCGGTGCAGGCCAAAGGGGTGGGGCAGATGGCCCGGGTGAGGGCCGGGGCACCCCGAGAGGGGCTGAAGGCCGGATTCCGGCCTTACCTGAAGTCCTTGTCGCTGGATGTCATTTTTTCCAGCAGATTGGAAATGTGGTACGAGGCGCTCGCCATGTTGACGGCCTCGATCCCGCCCGCTGGCGCCGCCGCCGCTGATGCTGCTGCTGCTGCCCGTCGCCGCCGCCGCTGCTGTTCCTCTCGCTCGCTCGCGGCGGTCTCGCTTCCAGGGTCGCAGCGCGAAGCCGACGCTGACTAAGGAGGCGCCTCGACGGGTGGCCCCCTCCTCCCCGGCGAGGCGTGGGCCTGTCCCGGGGAAAGCAGAGGCTGCGAGGCCGGCCTAACGACGGCGCAGCTCGCCGGAGAACGGGCTCATGGGAAGCAGGGAGTGCGGGCGGACCGTCCACTCGGGCTCAGCTCGCTCCCACTCCCTCCGCGCTCTCTCCCCGGGGCAAGAGGCCAAAACCCGCCTCCTGCGCTCCGGGGGCGGGGGCGGCGGACGGCGGGGCGCTACGGCACGCTGCGGCGCGCAGGGGTCAGGGGTCGCGGAGGGCTCCCCACGCACGCGGTGGCCACGCTAGTGGAAGGGCAATCCTGTTGGAGGAGGCTTTTGTCAGTCTTCACGTGCACCGCCTCGTAGGAGGCAAGACCACGGCCCAAAGACACTGTTCTCGCGAGACTTAAATGCGACGGTTAAAGGATGGGGGACGAATGGGACTAATGTGCCTTAATCTAAAAGTAACTCGATTTCTTTTTTTTTTTTCCTGTGTGACAGAGGAAAAGTTCACGATTTTTTTTTTTTTTACGAGTATAAGGCCGGGAAATAATGCTAATGAACGAGTTCGTCTGGAGACCAACCGAAGAATGACTCCAAAGAGCTTTCATTTTGAATCCGATGCGTGGCCTCCATTGCTGTAACCACGATGGTATAATGTTGCCACGTGAAAACCACAAATCCCAGAATCCAATTGGGACGTAAAAACCACAAATCCCAGAGTTCAGTTGGGGGGATTGTTACAGTGGATCAAGATGTGATTGGCTGAAGTAATGTCCCCTTAATTAGCTCCGTAGAAGGAAGGAATGCTGGGATTTGCAGTCTGGCAAGGCTGCTGTGGTGGAGAAAATCTTGAGATCGCCGCTCTCTGGGTTCCTGCCGCTGATTTCAGATTTTCTCTGCTTTTGCTGCTAAGGGACGTTTGCAGAGCTAGGCTGCCGCCTTTGGGCTAGCTCATTGCAGAGAAGTTGGTGTTCTTGACCAAGGCCTCGTAGCAACTTTCTACCACTAACACTTAAAGTGATGGTAGCCTCCTCTTAAGACAGCAGATCCTCTGCTGCGCATGCTCCTTCTTGTGTTTAAGAACCAGCTCCCTAAAGCAAGAAAGACCGCCATAAGATTAACGGGGCAGCAACTGATGATTGTATTCATGGCCTGCTCATTTTTTTCAGAACTGCTAGCTAAATGACTATCCTTTGTAGTCAGGTTTTTTTTTGGACTTGATAATCAACAGCTGTGTCAAGGGCATGTACCTTGGTTGCAGGCTCCTCCCCTGTTTGGGGCTCACAGGAGGCAACCAATGGATGTGTATCTCTCACATCCCTGTTACTTTCTGTTTTTCCTTCTCTTCCAGTCTTCCTAAAAATCATTGGTGAGGATTAACAAAACACACACACACACAAAATAAAAGCAAAGCATTGTTATAGGTAATAAAAGTTAAAACAGCCTGGCCAGTGTGTCTCAATGGTTGACCTATCAACTAGGAGGTCACCATTCAGTTCCTGGTCAGGGCATATGCCTGGGTTGCAGGCTCCAATCCCAGTGTGGGGCATGTTGGAGGCAGCCGATCAAAGATGCTCTCCTCATTGATGTTTCTATCTTTCTCCTTTCCTCTCTGGAATAAATAAAAACATTTAAGAAAAAAATTTAAAACACATGACACAGTATTGACCTCTTAATCTATACCCACATTTTTCCTCATTACTCTTGTTTACCCCCATGCATCCTTTTCCTTTAATACTGCTTTTCTTCCAGTAGTACCACATCCCTTCCCTCATTTTGCCAGTCAGCCATTATTAGGTTCCCTGAGAGCTTCAGCCACAATTCCCTTCTGATCTGAACGACCTTTCCTCAGTAGTTAATATAAACCACATGTGTCAAACACAAGGCCCGCGGGCCAAATCCGTCCCGCCAGGCCTTGCAATGTGGCCCGCACCACGCTGTCATCACTGCACTCCGCTGCGTTTCCATCACAATGACAGTTTATGACTGTTCAGTAAACCATTCAGCCCGCGATTTAGGCTGGATTTTAGATTTTGGCTCCTTCTCTGATTGAGTTCGACACCCCTAATATAAACTATACACATACACATCACACACAAATAATCCAGTCATTTATCTTGTATGGACCCCAAGGCTTAAATCTGCCATCTGGTGATAACCCTTCTTTTAGCCTGAATCCAAACTATGTGTAAATCCTTTCATTTATCAGTTTCCAACTGAACTATAATATTTGCATTCAGACAACAAATATAAATCCTGTTTATTGCCTCTTATTAGCTGTCTCAGGTAATTCACAGTTAGTTCTCTAACCTGGGTTTCTTCGTGGGTAACAAATGACCATCATCAGAGCATCACCCCATGGGACTGTTTTAAGAGTCAAATGACCTTAATCTGACTGGGTTGCCATAACAAAATACCACCACAGACTGTGTGGTTTAAACAACAGGAATGTATTTTCTCACAGTTCTGGAGGTTGAAAGTCCAAGATCAATGTGCCAGCCAAGCTGGTTTCTCCGAAAGCCTAGGCTTGCAGATGACCGCCTTCTCATTATGTTGTTACACACACAGCCCTTTCTCTGTGTGCTCCCACCCCTGGTCTCTCTCTCTTCTTATAAGGAAACCAGTCCTATCGGATTAGGCAGCACCTTGTTAATCTTATTTGGCCTTAACTGAGTTCTAATTTAATGCTAATTACCTCTCTGAAGGCCCTATCTCTAAATACCTTCACATGGGAGATTAGGGCTTCAACATATGAATTTGGGGGAACACAATTCAGTCACAACATATGTTGCATATAAAATACTCAGCACATGGTCTGGAACATAATAATAATGTTTATAACTAATATTTTTTGCACATTTACAAAGGTCATGATAAGCATTTAATAAAAGTTGACCATTATTATCATATTCTCTGTCTTTTACTTGTCTCTATCCGAAACCATCCTAAATAACCAGTTTTTCGAAATACTGTTACCAATTTAAAAAAACATTTTAAATTAATTTCAGAGAGGAAGGGAGAGAGTTAGAAATATCAACATTGAAAGAGAATCATTGATCCGCTGCCTCCTGAATGTCCCACACCAGGGATCAAGCCCAGAACCCAGGCATGTACCATGATCAGGAATCAAACCATGACCTCCTGGTTCATAGGCTGAGGCTCAACTGCTGAGCCCCTCCAGCCGGGCCTCTCTTCCTTAAGCACTTACTTATAAGTCAGGTGCTGCATTAACTCATTTGACCCACATTTTAAGAAGCACAGAGACTTTAAGCAACTTGCTAAAGGTCACCCAATAAATTACAGTCAGGATTAAAACCCAGGCAGTGTGGCTTAGGAACCTATGATCCAAATCTCTATACTGGAATGTTTTTCCCCACCAGGGATGTCTTTTACATCCCCCATCTCCCTTTCAAAAACCTCGAATCAATCATAGTGTTTATATGCTAGCCTCCAGTAAAAGTGTAAGTTCCTTAAGAGCATATATTACCAACTTTAAACCCCTTCTGCTTCTTTCAAGTACTTAGCCCATGACAAATTCATAAGACGCAATCAATTTTATTTTGTATTCTTGACCACTTAGACACAGGCGTCTTCAAACTACAGCCTGCGGGCCATATGCGGCCCGCAGAGGAGTCTGATCCAGCCCGCCAGGTTTTTTGGGCAGTGAGCGCAGCCGAGGTGTTACAGTAGGAATTAGTAGTTCATATAGTCCGGCCCTCCAGCTCTCTGAGGGACCGTGATCTGGCCCCCACTTTAAAAAGTTTGAGGACCCCTGATAGAGGCTTGATTTGTGTGTCACTGAACATGGCTGATTACTAAATAGTGGGGAAATCCTTTCCTTTAAGGATCTGTTAAGGCTAAATTAATTTACCGTATTTTTTGGACCATAAGACGCACTTTCCCCCCCCCGCCCCCCCAGAAGTGGGGGGGAAAAGTCCCTGCGTCTTATGGTCCAAATATAGCCTACACATATACTTTAAAAAAAAAGTTTTTTTACTTGCCCGGCTCTGTGTGGTCTCTGTGAGCTTGCCCGGCTCTAAAATGGTTCTAAATGCTGCTGTTTACTTTACAGGGTTGATTACATGTGTTTATGACTGTGATGTTGGGTTTTAATGCACATAAAATATTTTAGGACACTATTTGTTTCAGAATCTTTTTTTCTTCCCTTCTCTAAAAACTGGTGCGTCTTATGGTCCAGAGCGTCTTATGGTCCGAAAAATACGGTAAGTGCAAAGGAAATAAGCCTAGGTAAGACTATCCTCTAAAACAGAGGTTCTCAACCTTTCTAATGCCACGACCCTTTAATACAGTTCCTCATGTTGTGGTGACCCCCAACCATAAAATTATTTTCATTGCTACTTTATAACTGTAATGTTGCTACAGTTATGAATCGTGATGTAAATATCTGTGTTTTCCGATGGTCTTAGGTGACCCCTGCTAGTGGTTTTTAACCTGAGGGTCGTGACCCACAGTTTGAGAACCTGTGCTGTAGATCCTAAGACGGTCGGAAAACACAGATATTTACATTATAACTCATTAACAGTAACAAAACTACAGTTATGAAGTAGCAATGAAAATAATTTTATGGTTGGGGGTCACCAAAACACGAGGAACTGTATTAAAGGGTCGCGGCATTAGAAAGGTTGAGAACCACTGCTCTAAAAGGCTTCTTTCTAGTCAATGGGCACAGTGGAAAACTAAGGCAAATTTGAGAGAGGAAGAAAAAATGGAGTCCCTGAAGCTGTTAGAAGATTCTTCAACTATCAACCAGTAGTTTAGCTTAATTCATAAACATTTATTTTGTGGCTACACTGTGGCAGGTACTAGAAACTGGAGATCAGAGATGAGCAAGACATGTTCCTTAACCTTAAGGAGCATTCATGTTCACCAAATCTTAAATTGTATATCTTTTTTTTTTTTATTCAATAATTTTAGGCAAAATTGAGAAAATTGTTTACCATCAGTATAAAATTAACATACATTTATATTCTATATTTGTAATGAGAAGTAGATCCTGAAATTGTCAAGTATTAAGAGATTCTCATTTATTCTGAGTGCTGGGGTTTTTCTGTTTGTCAGATAAGGAATTTTTTTTGGGGGGGTGGGGGTGGGAAGCAGGGAGGGAAGGGACAACGGTTTAACACCCAGCACTCTGTGAGTGAATAACTGTCACATTTCTCTGAAGTCCTTTCTGCCCATGGTAGTCATCTCACAGACT